CGGCGGCCATCGAACCACCATCGAAAGGTCATGGTCATTTTTCAGCACCAGGAGCGACGTCATCAAAATCCATCAAAACCTCATCGCACCCCCCATCGAAACCTCATCAAAACCGATCAGGCACCCATCGGCCGCCCGCCGAGAACGTCATCAGACGTCATCAAAACCCATCAAAAGTCATCAAAACCCATCAAAAGTCATCGTCGATTTCAGCGGCGCGCGGCTGGGTCACCAAACGTCATCAAAAGGTCATCGAAAGGTCATCAAAAGGTCATCGAAAGGCCATCACCGAATTTCGACGGCACGCGGGGGGTCATCAACGCCCATCAGAAGGTCATCGGGCCCTCCACGCCAGAGGGCAAAGCCCCCCCGCGCGGCCATCGGACCCCCCCCCCCCCGTTTGCCGCGACCGCCATCGGATCGCGGCGCGCGTCTGTGAACTGCGTGCGGCGCCCCTCGTGGCCCTGTGGGGAGCCGAGGTACCTTCGGGGCTCGGCGCAGGCGATCCCTTGGGCCACTGGCGCACGCCGCGGCGCGCGTTCGGCGCCCTCTCACCTCGGTCAGCGGCGCTGGACTGCCCTGAAGCGGCTTGCAGGGGCATGTGGAGCTTGCTCCGCCGCCTCTCCCAGCCGAACCTCGCCGCGCCTCCCCGCCGAGCTCGCCCCGCGTGGCGCGTTCGTTGCTGCGCTCCCCCGACGCCGCGCTCGCGGCGCGCCACCCTCCCCCCTCCTGCCCATCGGTCATCTCGTCAGCTCCGCCATCGCACCTTCGCCCAGCGGCGGCGGCGCGGGTGCGCCGTGCCCAGCCCGCCTGATCATCGCGCGGGTGCTCGGAACTTGCTAGGGATGTACGCTTGCAAGTCGCCCGTGGCACGCTGCGAACATCGCAATCAACCCCGAACGATGGGGCCGGGAGTCCTGAATTTTCGCAATCTACAGGGGTGCCCCCAAAAGTTCCGCGGCGAGGGGTTCGAGCAGATCGGTCGCAAAGTTCGGCGCGTAGCGGGCTGTCGCTCGCGCGCCCGACGGGTTCAGAGCGCGGTCGCTGCCGACGGCGGCACCTAAGTGGACGCGCGGAAAAAAATGCGCGCTGCGCGCGCACGTCGGGGGGGCGCGCGCGCCTCGGGAGCGCTCCGCTGCGGCATGCAAGCAATCGCCGCGCGATATCATGCGCACCGCCTCCGCGCGCGTTCGGTGCATCGGCGCGGCGCGGGCGCTCGATTCGTCGGATATCGGAACAGGGCGGCGCCCTCTCGGCGCACGCGGACAGCTATCGGACCGCGCCCCCTTCGGGCGCGGGCCAAGCGCAGAGCCAGCCTGGCTGCGCAGAGCGGCGGAGCGAGACCACGTCGGCGCAAGCAGCACCGAGGACTGCCGAGGGGGGGGGGGCGCTGCGCGCGGCAGCGTGCCTCGGCAATCGCGCGGCCTGTCGCCTATGGCGTCGGTTCGCGAATCTCGCGCGGCGGGTTCGGCTGCGCGCGGCGCCCGTGCGCGTGGGCTTCCCCTGCGCCAAACCCACCTGACATCGCGTTCCATCTGTCGGGCGCGCGGGCGCGCCGTCGGCTCGGCGCGAGCGGCATCGTGCCCGCAAGGGTTCGTTCGGCCCCTGGCGCATTCGGGCGCGCGCGCCCGACGCGCTCGCAACCTGTCGGCGGCGCTCGACGGCGCAACCGCGCGCGCGTGGTTGATTCCGCTGCGCGACATCGCAGCCAGGGTTGCGCATTCAAAACGGTCCACCAATTGCTCGCGGGGGTGTCGGCCGCGCGCAGTGGGCCCCGCGGGCCCCATGCGCTCGCACGGCACCGGCCGCGCGCGCGCATCGCGCCACTCTGGCGCCCAGGCGCGACCGCTGCTCCACGCAAGCAGTGGGCCATCGCCGAGCGCAGCTCGGGCCCCCCACGCATCTGCTCATGGATTGAAGCCAGCGCCGTCGCAACTGCCGTCTGGAGTTGTCGCGATCGCGGTCGAGGACAACCCTGGACGTGTCGCATGTCGCCGCGATCCATGGGAGGGCGCCGCGCGTCGCCATGCGCGCGCGTTCTGGTTGCGTGCGCGGCGGCGCCGCACCTTGGCGGCCGCCCGTTCAATGCAGGGGTTCGCGCGCCGCTGCGCGCGATTGGTTTAATCAGCGTTTCCCATCAGGCGCGTGCAGTTAGTACAAATCTTCGGTACCCCTGGGGGCCATCGGTTGGGCGCGCTTGCTGCCGCCCATAATACGCGGCTGGGATGAATATGGCGGCGCCCATCGCAGCGCGATTGGTCGCATTGTGTAAGTATGTAAGTCCACGCGCGGTTCTGTGCACCATGGTCGCGGACGGGGAATAATGGTGGTGGGGTGGTGGTGGCGCGTCTGACACGTAAAGCGCGAGGCGCGTGCTGGTTGCGTGGCAAACGGCCACATATATTGCGTTGTCTGCCGCCCCGTCATCAGGACCCCGTGTCGGTCCACGGGATGGCCGCACAGCTGCCATTTGGGGATGTTCTCGGCGCGTCGAACCACGTGGCGGGCATGCATCCATTGGCACCGCTTGCATCCACAAGCCGTCTGCATGCCATTCCAAGCTTACTTCCTCGATTCGACGCGCGTTTGCGTTGGCAGGGTCTCACGCGCCGCGTGCCCCTCATGGGCTGCCGATCTTAATGTGATGGTGATTCTTCCAATGTTGGGCATTTTCGCTGTGACATTCCATTCTCTGGCCGTTTCTGGGCTGCCGCAACCCGTTGCATCCTTGTTGATCCCTATTCAACGTTTGGCGTCCATTTGCATCCACGCCACGTGGGCAAAAGCCAAGGCATGCACTGTGTTTGGTAAACGCGTTTGAATAGAGCCATGCGTGCGCAATCACGTGCAACGATGATTGCTCACGGTTGGTACGTTTCGGGGTCATCCGGAAGCGCCGCCCCGCATTCCCATGTATCTTTTCTTGAGGCGCGGCGGTGACCGATGTGCGTTGCTTTGGCTGTGACACTTTGAACTATCAGAAGTTGTTGCTGCGCTTGATTGATCAGTTGCTTCTTGTTTCGTGATTGAGGTGCGTGTCTTTCCTCTGAGATGTAATGCCGCCTGGATGGCGGGCACCTTTATTTGGAGCCACGCCCGCGCATGTGCTCAACGGTGCACGCGCGTCTACGCATAACAAACAATGGTAGTATGACACGTGTCGGCTTGGACCGCGATGGAGGGCACATGTTCGTTTCATAATGGTTTGGCTCTCGGGCGTCGCGTACGCTCGTTCTTTGCATTATAACAGGTGCCATCGAGGGTGTTCTTTTCAATGCGTGCGGGCTCCGATTGAACGCAGTCGTCATTTGGTCAATACTCTTGTATCGGTGTCGGCATTTACCCGTTGATGGCAAATTCGATGTGCGCTCTTGTGTCTTGTTGTATCCGATTGTAGTGCTCGGTTTGCTGAATCACCATCTCTGTCCACTGGAGAAGGAGTAGGGCCAGGAGGAATAGGGCCGCGGAGTGCGATGAGGAGGGCGCGGGGGTCACTAGAAGGGGCTGGAGAAGGATGGCGGAAGGGCGGAGGAAGATGAGGATAAGCAGGATGAGGAGCAGGAGCGAACCAACATTGGCCTGATAATAAACGAAGGCGGCTTCGCTATATCCCCTGGCCGCCCGCCATAGTACTGCCTAGCGTGCTTTACGCGAGCAGGCCACAGTTGAGTGCGATGCTATGTTATGCGATGCTACGCAATGCGTTGATGGCTGCTCACGTGCACGCGCTTGGCCTACAGACATTTGCAAACAACGTTGGTCGCCGTTCGCTTCAGCGAGTCATTGCCGTTGCTCGCTGTACGCGTTGCATTAGTCGTGCGTTCTTGAGGCCGCGTGAGCACTCTGGGTATCCTTGCTCCTACTACACCTGCCCCTCTTACACCCCACGCCTCCTCCTCCACTGCTGCAGCTCCTCCTCCTCTATCTATTCTCATTGCTTCCAATGTTCCCCCTCCTCTTACTCCTACCCCATCCGTCCCTCGATGGTATGCCCCGCGAGGGAGGGGGTAATCAATCTAAAACAATTCTCTGACATGGCCCCTCCTCCTCCTCCTCCTCCTCCTCTTACTCCTACCCCTGTTCCCCCCGCGCCTCCTACTACTACTACTACTCGTCCTGCTCATCGTGCCCCCATCTGCGCCCGCGCCCCGGGGGTTGAGTAGGTTGAGTAGGTAGGTAGGTTGAGTAGGTAGGCAGGTGCGTTCGGGGTGTCTTGGCGCGCCCTCCTTGGACCTCACTTTGGGTTCCCTTCCTTTGGCCCCTTTGACTCATGCATCGGACTCTGCCCTTCAAGGCGCCTCCCCTGGAGCTCATTGGGGCCAGCCCTTAGGGCTTCACCCTTGGAGCCCAACAGGGAAGTAGGATACTAAGCTAATATGCGGAGGCGCCTGGGTCGTAGGGTCTCAGCTCAGAGCAGGCTCAAGTAGAGAGGCAGCTGATGCCGTCATGGCTCAGGTAGGGTACGCCAGGTAAGGGTAGGACAGGCTAAATGACATACGCCAAGCAAGCCGCAGGACACGGGTCATAAGTTAGGGCACTGTAGGTCTTATAGGTGCACGAGGTGCAACGCGATAGAGTAGCAAACCAGTAGGACGTTAGGAGTAGGCGTAGTGATGGGGCCCTCCTTTGGGATTCACTTTTTGGCCTCATCGTGGCGCCCTGGGCTCTCATCGGGACCCCTGCCCCTCAAGGCAGCCTCCCTCGGGGTCCCCCTTGTGACCTTCCCTCGGGGTTCCAGCTTGGAGCCTGAGACTGAGGTAGGACATGGACCCTCCACCCTCCACCCTGGTAAGTCAATTCAACCCCCACCCTAGTAACATCCACCATCAGTGAGGATCCTCCCTGGTAAAATCCCTCCAACCTCCACCCTCCTCCGTCTTGGAGCCGTTTCGGCGCGGTGTTTTCGGCATAGCGACGGCAGCGTCGTCTCTTTTCGGCCCGCGAGGGCCCGAACGAGTTCCAGACTCAAATCCGACTCGGCAGCTCGGAGATTAGCTGCGATGGGCGCCAGGAAGCGTCAGGGATCAGCAGACGCTGAGGGCGCTCCAGCTTGCAAGGTTGCGCTCCCTCGCCGCGGCAAGGCTTCGGGCAGTGGCGCCGATCCCGTGGCCTGCGCCCGCTGCTCGGAGCCCGTGGATCGACAGTCTGGCTTTCGAGGCAAGGCCAGCGGACGCGGTGGTCTGCCGATGCACGGCTGCGACCAGTGCTACACGGGGTTCATTCGCCACTTCCAGCAGGACATGGCCTGGCAAGACTTTGTCGAGAGGTGCCATGAGGACGGGGACTTCAACAAGGACCGCGAGAGTAAGTGGCAGGCCGACTCCGAGCTTGCCGCCAGTATTGAAGATGCTCTTGTGGAGCACGGCAGCGTCGAAGTTGATGTGATCTACGGCCAGGAGATCAGCAAGACGTCGATACAGTTATCCAAGGACCAGTGGACGGAGAAGGTCTGCCCGAAAAGTGTGGCTGGCATATCGCCTGAGATGTGCATGGTGGGGGAGACTCGGGTTGCCTCTTCCACTCAACCAGGCGTGAGCTCGACTGGCGTCGTCTGCCAGCACCCGAGTAGGCCCTACACGGAGATCAAGAACTACACCAGGACAGAAGTTCGCATGAGCACGGTCAAGATCACGGCCGCGAAAGCGGCAGCCTCAGGAGGAGAGCAACCGACGTTCAAGCAGGAGATCACTAAGATCAGACAGAAACAGGCGACGATACTCAGAGGGAATGCCAAAGTGCCGACGCTCGCCCAGTTGCAGGACATTGCAGCCTCGGAGGCTACCAGCCGTGGGCTCCTGGTGGCGCCAAAGGCCTCTGGTGCATCGCGTGCTGGTTCGGATCTTCTGGCCATCGAGGGCGCGGACGTCGACGTGCTTGAGGGCGATGCAGGCGATGGCGAGGGCGATTCGCAAGGCGCGGCCTTGCCGAGACCCGCTGGCTCCAAGGCCGCGGCAGCGTTTGCGACCGCTAGGGGCTCTACCGCTCGCCGAGCTTCGGGCGCCAGCTCTGCGACGCAGGCCAAGGCTGCTACTCCCACGTCGTCGCGGATCGCGAGGCTTTCGTCAGGTCGCTTGGCTGCCGTGGATTCGCCAGCATGCGGACCTGGATCACCTGCTCCAGGTCGCGACCGATCGAGGTCGCCAGCGCCAAGCCACGTGACGCACGTGAGCTCTGGGCGCAAGGTTGTTCCGAAGGCCGCGCAGGGCGCCCTGGCCAACGACAAGATTCGGTGGGAGCAGCTGAAGCAGGACGTCGTCATCTCTGACATCCTCGACGGAGCCCTGAAAGGCGATCGCGTGTACTCCTTGAAGAGGTTCAAGCCTCAGTCGCCCAGCATGGCAATCATGGCTGAGACATTGTACAAGAAGGCTGAGACAGCGACGCTACTGAGTAACAACCTGAGCGAGATGAGTTGGGATCAGATCTGTGCACACCTCAAGGTTCTCTCAAATGAGGAGGTCGAGAGCGCCTCCAGCTTTTCACAGGACCTGCTCAGGAAGTACTTGCAGCTGGCCGAGCCTACGATCGATCAGATCACGGATGCGATCGTGCCTGTCGCAGCTTGCGCCGACGCCTTCAACATGTACGAGCCCAAGCTCTCTAGCATGACGGGGTCCATCGACTCCAGGGTGGCGGTGTCTCGGGAGATCCTCATGGACATCGTGGTGCTGCCTGGCTTGGAGAAGCCTGCCTTGGTCGATCACATGCAGGCGCTCGGCATCAGGTTGACCGACCAGTTCAGGGCTACCATGCCAGAGTGGAGCGCCAGCGTCAAGGACTACTACGAGAAGGTTGCGGGGTGGGGCTCTTGCTGACCCACTTGGGCAACGACGACCCCGAGACGTTCTCGGACTGCACTCCACATATGTCGTTGCTGGTGAATTTGCTGACAGGGGGGTTCTCGGATACAGAGTGGACGCCTCTCTCTGAAGCCTTCGGGAAGCACAAACCTTGGGCCGAATGGAAGTCTTCGTTTCGACGGGCTGCGTCGACTGACCTCCAAGCTGCTCCGAAGATGAACGCGTTGATCATGAAGTTGAAAGCCGCAGACCTCGATCAAGAGGGCCTCGATGCTCTTACATCTGCAATCTCGTCCATCGGCCATTGGAGGAAGACGTGCCGTGGCAAGGCATCGTCGACGCTGAAGGCGGAGCAGGCAGTCGAAGACACCATCAAGAGGCTGGCAACTACGATCATCGACAGTTCCGAGGCCCTCGTCAACTTGGACGTCTTGGGCAAGCTCGAGGAGATCATGCACCACTTCTCTGTGGCTGCGGAGTTCGCGCTGGTCGAGGATGGTGGTAGACTGGCGGGTATGTACGCTCGCTTGCTGGACAAGCGCAACGCTGCCGAGACCTGCAGGGGCGAGACTGAGATCCTGGAGGCGGCTCGCAAGTACCTAAGCGATCCCATCGAGAATAACGCGGACGCTCTGCACAACACCCTCCAGCGCAACATGAAAGTTGCCATCGGCGGGGAGACTGAGATCACCGTCATCGCGAGGACTGTAGCCCTGCTCCACCAGACGATCGAGCTGCTGAGGACGAGCGACGTTGACGAGCTGGTGAAGGGACCTGAGTTCAGCACGTTGGTCCGCAGGGGCATGCTGCTGGAGGGCATCGGGGACCTTCTGATGAAGACGATCAAGCACGACGGCGACGGGTCCAGCCTCAGGGTTGCCATCAACATGAGGGGCTACGATGTGAGGTCGAACCTCCAGATGGCACAGTTGTTCGCGAAGTTCTTGTGTACAACAACGGACCAGGATGCAGACTACCAGATGATCAAAGACGCATTCGATGAGCTTTCATCGATGATGAAGGTGCTTCCTGCGACGGCGCAGTATGGCTTCGAGGACTTCAAAGCATTCTCAGCGATCGTGGACCCTTGGAAGCCTGCCGCCGTGAATGCCATGAACATGTACTCCCAGTCACGCGTGGGAGAAGCAGTCAGGGCGGCGAGCGAGGTCAGCAAGAAGCTTGCGAGCATCGCTGGTGGCATGAGCGACGGTAGCGGCTGGCTCGATAGCTTCGTTGGTGACCAGTCGAGTTTCGACGAGATCTACGCCCACATGCGGACCACGATCTTTCGCCAGATCGGCATCAGCAACAAGATCAAGTCTCTCGAGCGTGAGCTTCGCGAGAAGCAGGCCGACTTCACGAAGATCGCTGGCGACTTCAACGTTCCAGAGTTGGGCTTCAAAGAGGCCCGAGACGAGTGGCAGCAGACAATGGCAAAAGCAAACTTGACGGTGTCAGTGGCTTCGCTGGCGCAGTCGGTGTCGTCGAAAGGGCCTCAATCGGTGGATGCACTCCAGCGCAGCATCGACGCGATGCAGGCCAGGTCAGTGGCCGTGGAGGCGATCCCGCCAGCGCTGTGGGCCGAGGTCCAGCGCAAGCTGGCGCAGTGAGGGCTTCGAGGCGCAGGCCGCTCCGCTGCCGCGCCCAGGGGGGAAGGGAGGAGGAAGAGGAGGAGAAGGAGGGGGAGGAGGAGGAGGAGGGAGGAGGAGGAGGAGGAGGAGGAGGAGGTAAGGAGGAGGAGGGAGGAGAAGGAGGAAGAAGGGAGAGAGAGACGGACGCCCAGCACTGCACGGCCGAGACGAGGGGCGCCGCCGCTGCTGCCGACAAAGCCTTTCCTTTGAACTGCCTCCTCCCTCTTCTCTCTTTCTTCCTTGCTCTTGCTTCTTTCCCACTGCAACCTCCGCCCTCCTCCTCCTCCTTCTCCTCCTCCTCCCCCTGCCTCCTCCTCCTTCCTCGTCCGTGTCTCCACCAACCCTCCTCCTCCTTCTCCTCCGTGTCCTAGTTGTCTCGATGCTGATGTGTACGGTATCGATCGGTGCCAGTGGGTTCGCCCATGAACGTGCAGTCTTAGAATCGGCTCTCGAAGTTGACAACCCCCCTGGCGGCCATCAAATGTCATGGCTGTTTTGTGAGCCCTTCGCCTGCCCAGGAAAGTGTTGATGACTGTTCGGAGACCACCCCGAGGGTGGTGATCACCCCAACTTCGACGCCAGGGTGTAGGGCATCAAACTCGATGGTCGTTTCGGACCATCCAAACCCATCAATTGTCATACTAACCTCTAGACTGCCAAGAGAAGTCTCAAAGGAAGGGGCTCTCCTGGCAGCGGCTGCCCTCGGCCACGGAGAGGTCCCCGCCCTGGACTTGAGGAAGGGCCCGAACACCAGGGACCCTCCTGAACACCAAGTGGTCCTTGCTTCGGCTTCCTGACTGGAGGCCGCAACATGCCGCCGCTCTGGTGCTCCTGGTCGGGCTAGTTTCGGTTCCCAACTCCTCGCGATAACGCCCGTTACCAGGGCTGCCCCCCCCCTCCCCGCCCTGGTAACGTCACTATTCGCACGGCGTCGTCTGGGAATTGCCAGGGGTAGCTATGCAATTCCCATGGACGGGGTCGGTCGGCACAATCCGGCCCCTTCATTCCCTCCCCCTAAGCAACGCCTGTCATCGCCAGAGGATTCAAGAACAGTGGGGTCGTGGAGCGCACGAAGCGCTGGCTACGTGTCCAGCGGCAGAAACCAAGCACCGGTGGCGCGCTGATGTGCCGAGCGCGGGGGCAGGTGGCGGACCTCGATTGCTCCAGGCCGCTGGATGTATAGGAAGACAAGGCCTTAAGTGTCGAACCACGGACCTCCCCAAACATCTGACGTCGTGATGATTTCACATCGGCGCCCCCAAGAGATCACAACCCATGAGCGGGGACAGGCTTTACATCCCAAGTCGTTTTTGACTGGCACGGGGCCTGGTGAGACCTTCGGGGGCCGAGAAACGCCTAGAACGTTCCGTCGTGAGTTTGGATTATGTTCACGACGCGGGAAGTCAGGGTCTCCTGGAGTGCGCTCTGGCCAGAATTCCGAGGCGGATCCGGCCGTGGCGACGTGGAGTCTCTCAGAGCCCCCCCCGGAAGGGAGCAAGGCGCCTGAAAGCTTTGGTCATCGTCGATGGACGTCTGGTCCGCCCTCTTCTGCGGCAACTCATGGGAGCCTACCATCCCAGTGTGTTGACTGCTGCGACGTGACGCTCATCGACGCTAGTCGCCGCTAAATCGACGCTAATCGACGCTAGTCGACGCTAGATCGGCGCTCTGTCATGGATGCCCAGACGCTAGCGCACGCTAATACACGCTGAGGACATACAAGGCTCCCACGAGGAGCCTTCAATGGCTAAGATGGAACTGCGAGGGCAGACAAGGCTCCCACGATCTGCTGCCGAACCCGAAGACGAAGCCGGGACGATGATGACATCGGGTGGGGATAATCCGAGAACCTCTTCGATCGGAGGATGCCTCGGGCGCCACGGCCTTCTCAGAGCGCTCTGGAACGGATTCACCCTCGTCCCAGCCCCGTCCTGATGGGCCCATTTTCCACTCCCACTACCATACGTAGGAGGGGGAGGAGGAGGGGGAGGAGGAGGGGGAGGAGGAGGGGGAGGAGGAGGGGGAGGAGGAGGAGGAGGAGGAGGAGGAGGACCTCCTCGTCCTCCCTCCCCCCCCGTCCTCCCTCCCCCCCCCGTTCTGCACTTGGCAGGGGTGGTGGAACGTTTGCCCATCACGTCCGACGATCTGCTGCCGAACCCTCCTGCACCGCAGCGCGAGCGAGCGAATCGCGGCGGCGACGGGGCGCGGCGCCTGCGGGCGTCAGCGGTCCGCGGCCCCCCGCCCGGGCGCCATTCGCACCGGGCGGGGGCGGGGGCGGCCGGCCTGCGGGGCCCCTCGCTCGCCGCCGTCGTTCCCCGACAGCGCCACGCCGTGGGAAGAGACGCTCGGCGCGGAGATCCCAAGGCGAGCGCCGCTCGTCTGGCGAGTTCCCTGCGCACAGAGGGGGCCCGACCACAAGAAGCCTTCCATAAGAAACCCCCGCCCCGAGACCCCAGGGCGTCCAGGGATGTTTGGTGTGGGAACGCCACGCTGCCCACAGCAAAACCATCGAAACACCCAAGAAACCAAGAGCATCTTGGAGGCAAGCAGGGCGTTTCTTGGCATGGGTCTCCACTGTACGTCGTGGCCGTCGTCGTCGTCGCCCGCCTTCCGAAGTAGCGGCACCGGCCGTGCGGCGCGAAAACAACCTCGACGGAGCGCTGCTGATTTCTCCAGCCTTCGGAAGCCGCCACGGGGCCGCTGGAGCGTCAGAGAACGGCTCGGGGCGCCAAGCCGGTCCCCGGGGAATATTGTCCCGACCTCTGGTGAGCCACGCTGCAGAGAGAAGCGCGCCGTCGGATCCCTGCGCTGCGCAGCTCCAACTTCCATGTCCACACAGACGACCTTCGAATACGGCATCCTGCTGCTGGGCGGCACTGGTACGACGAATGCTGTCAAGGCACACTTGGTCCCAAACTATCAGGAAGTTGCCGCTCGACCCGAACTTGCATGCTGAAGTCCAGAGTTGGCAAGAAGCTGTCGAAATTCATGCTGTGCGGCAGACCTGCCAGCATACACCCACACGTAAACAATTACTAGTAGCGTTTGGCTCTGAACTCTTCAGCGGTATTCCTGCGCGCTGGCCAGGCGTTGGCAAGACGAAGACGATCGCACACACATCAATCGCTACATATGGGGATACCTGGCAAGAGCGCGAGCAGCTCACCGGCATCATAATCAGCGGGCAGCATAGGTAAGGACAGGCCGTGCCAGCTGAGGTCAGCACGACGCACTTATCGCCCTAGCCCCTAGCGAAGCCCAGACCTAGGGCCTGAGAGAGGCAGATAAGCAAGATCGAAACGAAGATCCTCGGACCTCCGCTGTGGGGTCTCCTCGCGCGTCATCCTGGGGCATCGTGAAACTCTGGTGAGTACGGCAAGGTCGTGTCGTGACGACGTCGGGGGTGGTTTCTGACACGGCCACAATGAAAGGGGCACAGGGACACACCAATAAGTACACAAATCCAAGTTTTTCGTATACTTTCTGGGTATTCGTCCTCCCCACCACTTCCCATATTTTCCAATATTTTCCGGGGAATCGCCGACTAAATGTGTCTGTGTGTTTTTCCCCTCCTGGCACGATCACTCGATCTTGAACGATCGCGGCTCTCCAACAGCACGGATCGTCAGATGTCTCCTGGGGAGAGATCCCTGCAACTCTGCCTCTCCTCGGGCACGTCTCGGCCATAATCTCAAGGTGAGTCCGACCGCGGAGACGACGATGCGGACAACCTAACATCTTTATATATATATATATATATATGTATACATATACATATATATATATATGTGTACAGATATACATATATATACATATGTATATATGTGTAAGTATGTGTATGTATGTGTATGTATGTATGTATGTATGTATGTATGTATGTATACATGTATGTATGTATGTATGTATGCATGCATGTATGTATGTATGTATGTATGTATGTATGTATGTATGTATGTATGTATGTATGCATGCATGCATGTATGTATGTATGTATGTATGTATGTATGTATGTATGTATGTATGTATGTATGTATGTATGTATGTATGTATGTATGTATGTATGTATGTATGTATGTATATGCGTGTGTCTACCCACGGCATCTTTCAGTTTCGGGCTCCCTTGCCGAGACATCCGAGGCGCAGTGAGCGCGGATCGAAATCTGGCCTCAAGAGGCTAGATTTGTATTATATCCACTGCGCTTCGGCCTTTTGGCGCCCCTTCCTAGAAAGTCCAAGACGTAGTGGACTTGTGGTGTCGAAAACACGGATATCGTAGCGACAGAAGCTTCCAAAGGTCCTCCGAAGGAGCCCTGGAAGCTCTGGGAAGGAGCTTCTGGAAAACGTCAGGGCACACACGACATGGGAAACAATGAGAAAGGCCTGCCGGGACACGCTGCAAATTCAAACAAATTCCTGCCCGGAGGCCAGAATGAGCTCCGGTGCTACCCTTGCCAGCTGGGAACCTGAAGCCCTCTTTGGATCTCCAGGAGCGATCCGGGAGTTACGGATACCCATCGGTCGGAAGAAGTAGGTAGAAACATGAAGTAGGAAGGCGTTGGAAATAGATTGGGTTTCCGCACGCCTCCTGAAGAGGAACGAAGAGGGAAAACCACTCGACTCTTGAAGTAGGGAAGGCGCTGAAAGTAGATTGGAACCTGGGAATCTGAAAATACCTACTTTCAACGACCGATGGGTACAGCTCTTGCCCGCAGAGGAGGCCCGGGAGAGAGGCCACAGACGCTCACACAACTCGAGCCTCGACGTCTGCGAGGGGGGCGGAGCGCTGCGGCCTCGCGTTCGGAGCAGGCGGGTGACGCTCGCGCGCGCCGCCCCGGCCCACCCCAAGATGCGCTCGGGCCAGCTGCCGACACGGCGAGGGGCGCGGTCCAGAGGGCGGCGAGAGGGGCGCGGTCCAGAGGGCGGCGAAGGCCGGCTTCTCCTGTGAGTCTTTCTGGAAGCTCAGTCCAACAGATCTAGCC